CACACCTGGCCCCACACCTGGCCCCACACCTGGCCCCACACCTGGCCTGGCATAGTTACTACCGTGTTGTGGGTCCATTTCTCTGTGAATGAAGGTGTTTCTAGAAATTCATTCAACTGTGCCATTTAATGAGGTTACTTTTTGAAACAGCAAGGATTCTTTTGAGGGGAAAATGAAGAACACCGCTCCCGTATCAGAAATGATGAAGTCTCACACCACTCATCTGAGGAGCGAGCAGGATGTGCCCCCAGTGCCTCCACTTACCATCAAAGTGTCAGAGGTTGAACATGTGTTTAGAACCTGTAACCTTCAAAAAAGTCCTGGACCTGACAATATCTCTGGCAAGATTCTTAGAAATTGCGCCTCACAACTAGCACCAGTTTTTATAACTATTTGAACTATTCTTTGAGCCACCGTATAGTTCCTTTATTAGGGAAGACATCCATAATTGTGCAGGTGCCTAAAGTTCAAAGAGTATCAGAGTTAAATGATTTCCGCCCTATTGCACTGACATCTCTGGTGATGAAGAGCTTTGAGCGTAGAATTCAAAAAAGTCATTCTCTCTCAAACACAGCATCTTCTAGACCCTCTACAGTTTGCATGTCAGCCCTCCAGAGGGGTGGATGATGCTGTTCTGACTGTGCTGCACCTGCTCTGTTCCCACCTTAAAGCCCATGTAAAAAATCTTAACAAAAGAGTTTTTAATCTCACATAGCTTGGTTTTATGGATTGCAGAGTTTTGAACAGGTAGGGTCCAGCAGGTCACAGTGGGTTCAACACTCTCTGACAAAACAACCAGCAGCTCTGGTTCTCCTCAAGGCTGTGTGTTAGCCTCACTGTTATTTATTCTCTACACAAACTCCTGCAAAATACTTTCCAAATAGACATCTAATTAAATATGCTGATGACACGGTCCTGGTAAGCCTCTTAACAACAAGGAAGAGGAGCATGGACCAGTTCTGCACTTCTTCATTAAATGGTGCAAAAAATCAAAATTGGTTCTGAACATGAAAAAAAAAAAAAAAAGAAATGACTATTGGCTTCAGGAAGGTTCAGTCATTCTCTCCAACCACCATCGATGGAGAGCAGATTGAAACTGTCTCGTGCTACAAGAACCTGGGTGTGGTTCTGGACTGTCAACGTGGGACTCGTGGGCTGACCTTATCAGCACCAAGACTCAGCCAACGATGTATTTTTAAAAGAAACTGTTTTTTTTTTTATAGTCAATAACTCAAAGCAGGGGCAGCACGGTGGCACAACTGGTAGAGCTGCTGCCTCTCAGCGAGCAGGTCCCTGGTTCAAACCCCGGTCCAGGGGCCTTTCTGGGTGGAGTTTGCATGTTCTCTCCGTGAATGCGTGGGTTTTCTCTGGGTACTCCGGTTTCCTCCCACAGACCAAAAACATGCATGTTAGGCTGATTGGTAACTCTAAAATTGTCCCTAGGTGTGAGTGAGAGAGTGAATGGTTGTTTGTCTCGTTTGTCTCTATGTGTCCCTGTGATGGACTTGCGACCCGTCCAGGGTGTCCCCCGCCCCTCGCACAGTGATTGCTGGACATGGGCACCAGCGACCCCCGTGACCCAAAATGGAACAAACGGGTAAAGATAATGGATGGATGGATGGAATAACTCAAAGCTTTTAACGTTTTATTCTGCTTTTATTGAGAACATTTTGTAACATCTGTTGGTTTGGCAATGCTACAGAGGCTCAGAAGAAATCCTTGAGAAGTAACTACAGGCAGCAAACTGTTAGGGACCAGTCTGACCAGTATGGAAAAAATATACTGTACATGGACAGAGTTATGAGGAAGGCAAACAAGATTATAGCAACACACATCCCCTAAGATCCTCATTTGAGTTGCTTCCTTCAGGGCGAAGGTACTGCCTTCTTTTATTCTCAAGCAACAGGTCAAAATGTTCTTTCATACCACAAGTGATTCAATCATTAAATAATAAAAACGTATCATGAATTACTGAGCTCAAACTTCTTTGATGTAATGATGGATGGTAATGTCATGTTTTTATATGTTTATCCATCCATCCATCCATCATCCATCCATCCATCCTGTTATGAAAACTGTTCAGATCTCCAAGTCTGACCAGCAGAGTCTGCCTGATTTAGAAGACGGGGAAGGAGGCATCTACAGGGTTCCTGCCAACATCAGGCCCGTTCTCAGCACCTACAGGCTGGAGGTTTGACGGCTTCGATCAGTAAAAGCAGCAAAATGTCTGTTTTTTTTTTTTTGTCATTAATATTTATCCTGTTTCCTGCCAGGTTTTGTTCTGGGGTCTGAGGGAGCTGAAGAAAGTTCAGTTACTGTCTGTGGATCGTCCACAAGTGAGAAACAGTCTCACAGCTCTACAAATGTTCAGACAGTCTGGGTTACAAAAAACAGTTTTGTTCCTGTCACACCTGTTGCATGTTGTGTTTTTACCACTGTCACTGGCAAAGGGGTGAAAATGTTTGTGTCTACCTGTTTGTTTGTCTGTTCTGTTAGCAGAATACCTTATAAACTACTGATCAACTTTTAATGAAACATAAAGCAATCACTGGATGAACGTCCATCCATCCATCCATCCATCCATCCATCCATCCATCCATCCATCCATCCATCCATCCATCATCTTGTTCTGGACTCAGGTTTCGGGGCAGCATCTTGAGCAGGGAGGTCCAGACATCTCTCTCCACAGCCTCTTCCAGTTCTTCTGGGAGGACTCCAAGGTGTTCCCTGGACAACTGAGAAACATAATCTCTCCAGGGTGTCCTGGGTCTTCTCCGGGGTCTCCTCCCAGTCAGACATGACTGAACCAACTCAACTGGCTCCTCTCTATGTGAAGGAGAAACAATTCTACTTCAAGGCTCTCCTGATAACTGAACTTCTCACCCTGTCTCTAAGGGAGAGTCCCTTGTGGAGGAAATTCATTTCAACCTCCTGTATCCACGATCTCATTCTTTCAGTCTCTACTCAGAGGTGAGGGTAGGAACGTAGACCGACCAGTTTTTGTCTTACAGCTCAGCTCCCTCTTCATCACAGTGGACCAGTACAGAGTCCACAATACTGCAGACGATGCACCAATCTGTCTGTCAATCTCACGCTCCATTCTTCTGTCACTCGTGAACAAAACCCCAACACTTGAACTCTTCTACTTGAGGCAGAACCTCAACCTCGACCTGAAGAGAACATGGATGGACATGAGATGGATGGGCATCTACAACCATAAACCCATTGCAAGATGGCCGCCACACTAAATGACCAATGCAAACTCAGAAGTTGCTATGAATCAGACATTTTCACAGGTATCTAAGATAACGTTTGGTGTGAGAATAGCTGAGCATTGTCTCCAACACAAACTTTAAGCACCACACAGAGCTCAACATCCAAGTTTAAAACATTGGCAGTGACTGTTGGAGGCAACATCGTTTTACTGTTAGCAAAATATCTCACTGGACAAACATTATGATTTTCTCAGAAAGTTTTGGATGTACATCTACAACGACTGGAGTTAGTCCAATTGAAAATGGCTGCCACAGCTAACTGATATTAGCAAAAATAGCTATGTGCCAGTGATTTGATAAATGTTGAACTAAAAGTTGGTTGGTAGTAGCTGAGAGTCCTGTTTAACACAAACATTAACTCTTTCTGTTAACATAAAACCAACTTCATCTAAAATTGACATGTAAGGTGGTGGGTGTATGGATTTCTGTAGGCAGGCTAGAACATTACTTGCACTACTCCAACCCCGTGCTGTGTTCTTTCTTCAGGTGTTCATAGAGTGTGCCGGTAAAACTCTGTGTTCCTCCGTCATTCAGAAGTACAAGTCCAGCCCAAACTTCACCACCCTGGTAGATTCCATAGAACTGGTAAGACTAATATACCCAAAACAAACGAACAAAAACTACCGTTACTGTTATTACGTGCACCTGGACAGCCTGCTGGCCACAGATGAACACATCGTGTTGGTGAAACCAACAAACTCTCTTCATAAACATGGAAAATCTTGCATTTACTTTGGTTTTTACTGTCTCCTGTCATGGAGTGAAGAGGGGAAGCATCCCTCCGTCCATCTTGCCAACTGGATTACTTGAAAAAGATGTACCAGCTTCCATTTTCATGTGTAGCTGCATCCAGGCCAAAGAAAGGTCACTATAAAATATTGGATCACCACGTCAAGATCCAGGATCCATTATTAAACAAGCTGCCCCTACCATTTGAGGAAACTACGCTTTCTAGTTCTTATATTGATTAAAAATATAGTTTCCTTAAAATGACTGAGGTGACCAAACATACTGTAAATCTATGGGGCCAATAATGGCATACTGCTTGTTCAGAAGGAATAGCCTAAACATCTTATTGATTTTATTTATTTAGACCAAATTTCACTTGTTTTTATTATAATAGTTGACTTGTTCATGATTTTGACATGTTAGGCGTCACCTTTGATCACGTGTTCATCTTCCTGTTCTTTCTCACGACACTGAAAGACGATGCTGATGTAGACTGTAGTGCACTCTGCACCTAGCCGTTAAAAGTGTGTATAGTAACTCATTCAACCTTTATTTATCCAGGTTAGTCCCACTGAGCCTCGAGGACTCATTTACAAGAGACATCTGATTTTAACAGAGAGTGATGACAACAATGGACAATCATAAAAGAAAGCATAAAAATTGGGAAAAATAAATGAAAGAAAATTACATTAAAAAACAAAATATAAACAGCTTCGGTGTAAAACAATGTAGAATACTCTAAAAAAGTTAAATCTGGTCCTCTGGACATTCAAAAAAAAACAAAAACAAAGCAAAACAACAAAAAATGTAGAAACTTTTCGTCTCTCGTCCAAGAGACTTCTTCAGTCTGAGGTGCTGTATTCAGCTCAGTCTCTTAAATAGCACCTTCTCAGAGTGTGATCAGCTGGTTCTGGTTGTCAGCAGCAAACTGGTTGATCCACTCTGAGAAGGTGCTATTTAAGAGACTGAGCTGAACACAGCACCTCAGACTGAAGAAGTCTCTCGGACGAGAGACGAAACGTTTCTACATTTTTTGTTGTTTTGCTTTGTTTTGGGTTTTTTTGAATGTCCAGAGGACCAGATTTAACTTTTTTAGAGTATTCTACCTGGATTATTGAGCATGCATCAGGAAATGTAGAATACTAAAACCAGGAACTAATTAAGGAATTAAGCACAACACATGCGACAAACCAAACAAAGAAATCCGCTCTGTGTGCTGCAGGAGTTACCGGAGAACGAACACCTGCATCCTCCTCTCAGCATCACGACTGTGGACTGGCGGGCCTTTGGTCGCAGCACCCTGGTTGGAAATCACATCATAAACAACCTGAAGGCCTTCAAATACACACCACCTCCACCTCCATCTCCACCTCCTGCTGTCCACACACACAGCCCACCTCGGGCTCCAGAGACCCGCAGACTTGTCCTGACTCCAGAACCACACGCCGCTGAAGGTAACGTGTGCGCCAGTTTTAGTGTCAGCTATCCAAACATTTTCCAGCATTAACAGAACCATCAGGTAGGGTTGTAATCAAGACCAACTAACCCGAGACCAAGTCAAGACCAAGACCTCAAGTCTTGGAGCTCAATCTTTTCACAGATTATTTGTCTTATACTAAACTGTCACAACATGACATTTCTAACAAATATGTAAAAAACTTATGTAACTTATATATTTTTTAAATAAAAGTTACATACTTCAACTTTAAGTTTGCTTTTGAATGAATGTATCAGCTTCTATACATTTTCAAAGCTTCATAAAGAAATCAGACGCTCGGTGGTTGTTGCACAATAATGTTCATGTCATGTGACCCGCCGACACTAAACTCATGTTAAACTCTACTGGACCTGACAGACCAGGCACCCGCATTTATCTCTCATTTTAAAGCATTTTCTAATTTTACATAATTTATTTGTTCAAAAATCATGATTTTTGCTCAATAACTAATAATAAAATGCTTTAAAATGAGAAATAAATGTTGGTGTGTTGTGTGTCGGGTCTGTTAGAGCAGCGTAACATTAGTTTTGTGTCAGTGAGTCAAATGATGTGAAACATAGGAATTTTTGTTTCTGAAGTGTGTTTGCTTCAGTAATTTGTTGACGGTCCCTAAGTGAACCGTTACGTCTCCGAGGACGTGCACACTGAACTCAGACTGCCGGCTTCGGATCCAACGAGAGCAACACACCGCTGAAGACACCGAGCTCCAACGTCCAACGTAAAACTAACTTCACCGCGGTGGAGAGTTGAGGCTCCAGCACGAACAGTTAGAAACTATTTGAAATGAGTAAATAAAAGATATTTATTATCTGATAAGTCGTGTTTTAGACTTATTATTGCTAAAGAATCTATTCTGACACAAAGTGCAGCCGTGACTGGTTCTGGATGAGGCTTTACAGCAGACAGACCCTCTCTTCCAGGTACTGTGTACTGTACTGTATTGCTCCACATGCAATATGACAAGAGAGGCAATCAATACATTTGAAAAGCAGAACAGGAAAACAACACACCACACCCACAATTTGCCCACACACCAGCCCGGTACGTTTAAAATCCATAAGTCTACCAATAAATGTAACACCCAGGAATAAACCAGTGGAAGGATCTGGAACGAACAACCATCCAGAAACTCCCGGAAAATTTTACTAAAAGACGTAGACTGTAATGAAAAGATTGGAGTGGGCAAGAACCAAAACTTCCTTAGTAAAATGTGGGCTGGCTCGTAATGCAGCTTGTGGTCATCAATTCCACAACGTAGCCCATCTTTAAAGGATTCAAGGTTCTTGATTGTCATTCAAGTTGCATGTGGTACATGCAACTTGAACAAAAGAACAAAAGAAACAGTAAATAAGGATCTGAGATATAAACCAAGATGTACGCTAAACGAACGCCCATCACTACGCTAAAAGATGTAAGATATATGCCAGTCATTAATAGTGCAAAACAATACACCGACCAGCAGCAGCACAATTCTCATAGGTTCTGTTCAGTTATAATTTACACACTTAATGTGAGCACTAACATAAACTGAGCTTCATTCAAAGCAACAAAAACACAGAAACAAGGCTCCAAAAGTGAAAAAGACATAAATCTACAGCAGCACGGTCCTATTGGCAGAGTGGTTCTGATGACAGTCAGGTTCTCTTGTCAACATGGTCCAGTTTGCAGCATGGTACTGTTAGCAGTGAGGTTCTGTTAGTGGTGCGGTGTTGTTAGGAGTGTTAGCAGGTCTTGTTAGCAGGTCCCTTCAGCAGCATGATGATAACAAGGACCGCAGCAGCTGCCTCCCAGACTGCCCTCCAGAATGTCCATCTGGCAGACGGAGAACATCCAAGGTTTCCCTGTGGAACTAAACGGGTCCACAGAGTTTGGTCCATGCAGGCAGATGGAGGATCATGGAGACAGCCGCCATGACAGGCCTGGGCCCGAGGCTGGAAGGACTGAACAATGATGGCAGGATGGCACAATGGCAAGGCAGCGACATAGAAAACTTCACAAGTGTGACGTGTCATACCCGTACTGCGGATGTACATTGTAGGCGCAAAAAACAAATGCAACTAAAACAATAGGAACAAAAAAGATCAAGTTCACCGGGAGCCTGTGAAGCTGTGGACATCACTCTTACCATAAGGTCTTTCTTAACTACCTGCACCTTCAGTCTGCTACGTATAACCTCTGAAGCATGGCTGTTTTTCTGGTGACACGATATGATGATGACGATGGTGATGAGCCTAACCTTAACCTAAACTCAACTTCACACCTGAGCCCTAACCCTGACCCTAACCCAAAGAATGAGCACCAGACGTTAGTCTTCCAAAGCAGCTGTGAGCGCTGACAAAACAGTGTTTCTTAACTCTTCAACTGAGACTCTTCCTTTCAGCACGTAGCTGCAGCTTCAGGGGCAGGAAGAATAGCTGCTCACATGACTTAAGGTGGACCATACAGGTCGCACATGATTTAAAGGATTTAAGACATGTTTGGTACTAATTTAGACAAATGAAGTTATGAGAGAGGTTCTCTGACTGGTGTGAGCTGAGAAGGAACTATGTGACAGAACATCCAGAACACCAAACTAAACATTCAAAATGTCAGTTTGTCATTGGAGTTTTAACTTGATGGAACAACTGTGATGTTTGCTGTGCACGTTTGTTGAGCAGGCCTGACGCAGGATACTGGAGAAAGCAGCTGCAGAGCAACACTAACCCAGCAGGACTTCCTGATCTCTGTGGAGGAAGAAGCTCCTCCTGCTCCACCTCTACCTCAGCCTGAACCCAAGAAGAAAAAGGTTCTGACCTCAGAAGATCATGTGGTACTTAAATACACCGGAGGTTCCACCATCCTCACATTTATCTTGTTTTTACGCAGGAGAGCCACTCGAAAAGTGTCCGTCGTTCCACGAAGAGGCGGAGGCGAACCATCGCTGATGAATCAGCAGAGAGTGTCATCGACTGGTGGTCCAAATATTACGCCTCTGTGGAGAAACAGGTAGCTAGCTGTGAGCGCTGAGCTTCACTTTAAACCGTTAGCTTGTAGTTTGGAAGTTATGAACGTGCGCTGCCTGTCTGTGTTCCAGGAAAAACAGAAGGATAGCTCTCAGCTGCCTCACGTTTTTGAGAAAGGTATGGAATATTCACACACGTCTGTGGAGGTTGTCTGAGACAATGATGCACTCAAGATGTTCACGAGTCCGTTATCAAGAGCCATGGAGGAAAGAAGAAAATAAACATGAACTAGAATAAAATTTTTCTATGAAACAAACAAGAGAGTATGAAATGAAAATACATGTTTACTTGACAACTTCCATCCATCTGTCCATCCATCCATCCATCCATCCATCTGCCATTCATCCATCCATCCATCTGTCATTCATCCATCCATCCATCTGTCCATCCATCCATCCATCCATCCAACCATCCATCCATCTGTCCATCCATCCATCCATCCATCCATCCATCCATCCATCTGTCCATCCATCCATCCATCCATCCATCCATCCATCTGTCTATCCGGGCGGCTGTGGCTGAGTGGTTAGAGCAGTTGTCCTCCATGCAAGAGTTTGGGGTTTGAATCCACCAGCTGTCACATGCTGAAGTGTCCCTGGGCAAGACACTGAACCCCTCATAGCCTCTGATGTGCGTCTCATCAGCGTATGAATGTGATAAAGCTCTGATTAGTCTCTTTAGAATGATTTGTTCAATTAACTTTGTAGAGATCTAGTACAGAGCTGTATGAATGGGTAAATGAGGCACAGATTGTTGTAAAGCACTTTGAGCATCTTGAAATAAGATTGAAAGGCACTGTATAAGAACTGTCCATCCATCCATCCATCCATCCATCCATGCATCCATCCATCCATCCATCCATGCATCGATTCATTATCTTTACTCGCTTCTTCCTTTACGGATTGCGGTTAGTGTCCATATCCAGCAGTTACTCTGCGAGAGGCAGGGGAGGGGACAACCCGAACAAGTCTCCAGTCCATCACAGGGACATATAGAGACAAACAACCATTCACTGTCTCTCTCACACCTCATCTAGGGACAATTTAGAGTCACCAATCAGTCTAACAAGCATGTTTTTGGTCTGTGGGAAGAAACCGGAGTACTTAGAGAAAACCCACGAAGCACGGACAGAACATGCAAACTCCAACCAGAAAGGTCCCCGGCTGGGATTTGAACCAGCGACCTTCTCACTGAGAGGCAACAGCTCTACCAACTGATCCACCTCCTGGAAGACTTGTATATATCAGAGTTTCTTTATTTTTCATACACACCACATATGGTGCATGTGGTGGAACGGGATTATGTTCACAGGATCCCAGTTACATTCAATAATAAAATGTAAAAGAAAAACAGTAATAAGATCAAAGATATGAACTAAGAAAAGCATCAACTAAAAATACCCTAAGCACTAATAGCATAAAAACAATAAAGACAATACGCCAAACAGCAGCACGGACATGAGTCTGTGCGAACAGATGTGCACACATGAACACAGCAGCATGAAACAGATCAGCAGCAACATGAAACAGATCAGCAGCAACATGAAACAGATCAGCAGCAACATGAAACAGATCAGCAGCAACATGAAACAGATCAGCAGCAACATGAAACACATCAGCAGCAACATGAAACAGATCAGCAGCAACATGATGTGATTTTTCACAGTGATTCTCCTGGTTAGAGATTCATGAGTCTAACAGCCTCAGGGTAGAAGCTGTTCCTCAGTCTAGTGGTTCTACACTTAATGCTCCTCAACCTCCTTCCTGAGGGGAGTGGGGCAAAAAGTGTGTGTGTTTGAGGCTGTAAACCCAGAAACACAAACCTGTGCACCACTTGGATTGAATGCAGGAAAGCTTATGATTCATTGCCACACACAATACTAGAAACTGAAGTATATAAACTGTGTATCAAGACAAAAGATGGATGGATATTTTGTATATAATTACATGTTTTGAGAGAAAATATATATAAAAAAAAACAAAGTTGGAACAGTTTAAGAACCAGAAACCAGAATTGGTGTGTCTTTCAGTCTTAGTTTAATTTTTATTATTTCACTGATTGTTGTGTGCATAAACTGTGTGAAGGATGTGCTTCCAGTAGTCTCCTGACACACACAACTGTTGTGCATTGCAGCTTTGCCATACCACAGCCTGCTCAATGATGGGATAGACTCTCTGGGTAAGGATGCAGACATGCAGCTGAAGGAGTTGTTGATAACTGATCACCTAATAGAGCAGTGGTTCCCAACCTGTTTTCCTCAAAGCACCCCCCCACACACCCCCACTTCCTTGCCCATCTGCGCCCCCCCCCCCCCCCCAATCCCTCGCTACTCCCCTCTCCCAAAGACTCATTCAGATTAATCTCTTTATCAGTGATAAAAGAAAATGTAAATAGTTACAAACTTTTATTTATAAAATATATAAACTGGTAGTTGTACAACAGAAATAACAACTACGAGAACACTGTTTTGAGAATTACTCAAATAACTTTTCTTTAAAAATAACAACAGAGTGATCTTAAAAACAGTTAAAAAATGTTGTTTGGTCAAGATATCAAACTCTAGGCATGTACACACAGCTCTAACAAAAACAATGGCTA